CACACACACACACACACATATAACTCATTAAAAATACTAAGTTATGATGCCTCAAAGCAAATTACACTTTTCCATGCAACAAATATATGCATAAACTATATAATAGCATATTACTTTTAAATTTTGACGATGGGCACTTTGCCAATGGTTATCAGCACTCATCCTTTGCAGACAAAAACAATCATACCATGAATTTTATGAGGTGCCCCATGCACTATTACCTTAATTCTGAAATTTGTCACCAAACTATATTTTCACACTACCATCAATAAGATAAATGCCTCTCTAAGATTATTAATGAAAATTTGTCCTCAATTAAATTTGAAATAAATCTCACCATTCAGGATAACCTTTAAATCCTGCCCTAGGTAACTCTGTAATATCTGTCCATTGTACAGCCCTGCTGCATAATATGTCCCCTTCACTATGTGGTGCTGGAGAACAGCTGAAATAGATATACGTAAACATATGAATTGTATGTATTTCATAGATGTTCAAGCTAATGTAAATTTAACTGTGCAATGTTTATGCAATTATACAAAGTTTTAACTTGTCAATTTCTACACAGTGGGAAACTTTTTTTAATTTATAATTTGTTGGAAATCCTGGAAAAAGAACAACTGAGGGAAAACGAGTCCACTGTACCTATGAGAGCCATGTGGTTAACCTGAAACTCGTACATAGCGCCACGTGGCAGATGTGCTATGGCCTCATTAGTTGGTGCAAAAAATGTGAAAGGACCGCCTGAAAAAGTAAGTCATACCTATGAGTGCCATGTGATTCACTTCAAACTCGTACATCGCCCCTGGGGGAAGGCTATATATGGCTTCATTGGTGGGAGCAAAGAAAGTGAAGGGGCCACCTAAAAAATGATAACAAGTAAGTCTTGTCATTATACAACATCATATTTGAAGGTTTTTAAAAAACTGACAGACACGAAATACGTAAGATAAAGAAAGAATAAGCAGTACTAATAAAATGTGTTATATACAATTACACACAAAACAGAAACTAGCAAAAATCAAAATAAAGGTATCAATAATAACCTAATGTCACTTTGGCAACCCTGTGTTGCAGGGTCTAGAAACAGAGGCTCATCTCTATAGTCACCACTACTTTGCAGAAAACCAATTCTGATCCCATAACCAAGGGTTAAAAGGAGTCTCTGACAGTACTTGGAAACTCAGTTTTAAGAGGATTATATCACATACAATATCAAATATAGATATAAGATACAGAGACAAATAAATCTGATAGAAAACCAATATAAAATGTCACCTCCAGCTATTGTAGTGGCATTGAGTCCCGACATCTCAATCAGGTAGTCCAGCTGCAAATATTCCGGCGCAATAACAATGACATCATCGGCAGACTGTGAGGGGAGGTGGTACATCACCTGGTCCAGGAGGTGGACCACCCCATTGGAGGCCAGCTCATCAAATCTGCTCACTGGAGCACCAGAGGCCGTATACACCTGCAGTGTTGACACAGTGCAAATAATCAGTTTATCACAAGTTCTGACAAGAAGTGATGGAACAGAGTTCAACAGAGACTAAGTGGTGGTCAATATATAATTAAATTTTCAATTACACATTTACCGACTCGGGGGAGTTTTACATGTACACGTACACAATTAATTAACTTATTTCTTATAAATAAATCTTCAATTTTACTTATTTGACATGGGCTTGGGCTTACACACTGAAAGCAGTGAGATGACAGTGCAAAGAAATATCAACCAATCAGGCATGAATAGAAGTTCAATTTTTAAATGCAGTCATAAATGTCATGTTTTCTCTAACAATATCCCCTACGCACCAGTACATACAGACCTCTTTGCACCACAACTATAAAATATTAGTCCCCATTCCCACAGATCTTAGATCGATCTATTCTGTGGGGAGTCTCACTAGATTACTGTCAGCTTAGCCAGCTTAAGCATCTGTCTCGCCTACTAAAAGCTGTAAGGGGCCAATTAACTGTTGTGCGCGCTTGGTTGACTGCAATTTAACGTGAACCCCCAGGGAGTTAGGTCGATCCAGATGGATTGATCTAAATCTCTGGGAATGCTTTCTTATAATTACTTTCTCTGCTGGCTTTTGATACACATTCAGCCGCACCCTTTTCTGTGTATTAGCAGAATACAGGGTTGGTATCAGCCTTTCATTGATGAAGTCTGTCTTCAGTTCCAATCCTTCCCCAATGTGAAAAGACATGACATCCATCATGTAGGTTTTATTGGTTTGGAGTTGATTCCTTATGTTAGCAGGCAACTTGGCAAAAGCTGCATTGGTGGGAACAAAGAGGGTAAAGGGTCCTGTAAAGAAAGTAGGGAAATGCACTCATGATGCACATGCAATTGAAGAAAGATATAAAGGTTCTACAAACTCAAGTTTTGCTTTTTGATTTTATATTTGAAAAACATTTTTAACATGAATTTTCTACTGATTTAATGGTAACCCTTCCAGAACTGAACATATTAATAAAACAAAAAAACTTTCAAAAATCTATACTAAATAAATCCTTTCAATAAAACACAATCTCCTTATTCAATCTTTCATCTGTTGGAAAAATAAATTACAACATCACTGCATTACCTTTTCCATTCTTCAGATAGTGTGACAGAGACTCTGGAAGCTTCTCCACAAAATCCACAAATATACTAGCATTCAGGTTTGCAGCAACATCCACCACAGATTCAGTAGCATTGGTTCCCATCACACTAGACAGTCGGGAACATACCAACACCACCAAAATTACATGAACCCTGGAAGCAGGTGCCATTGTTGCTGCATGTGTTATTGCACTTTGGCTAATAATGCTACTGCTACCAATATCTGATAATCTGTCTCTATTGCCTGGGAGGTACCCGCAGGTAGGTTTGAAGGTCACAAAGAGTCCTAAAGTGTTAACAGGCTGATGAAGTTGAGGGGCATAATTTTAAAACAGTGTACTGAACAAAGATGGA